CTAAAGTGGACCTTCTCGGCTCTTTTGGGTAGCAGCCGGGTGCATTTGGAGGAGTCTTTTGTCATTATTGAACTAGTAAAGGTTTGTTGTTCTCATTAAAGTTCACATATTCATAGCAGCTGACATCCATACATTCAAGCCACTGAGATTTTTACATTTTTAGTTATACTGTCAATAACTTCTCTAAGTTATTACTGTGCGCATTTCCTATCTTGATCTCCCATAATGCACTTTAAGTTTTATATTGCAGTAGATGTCAAGCCCTGATGCTGCATATTAGTGAGCCAAATTAAATGCATCTTGCATATTTTGAATTGCAGCTAGGATGAGGGATTTCTCTTTCCATTTCTCCAGTATTTGGCAGCCATTAAAATACAAAATTCTCTTTTTGTTCCCCAGGAGAAAGCAGCAGAATTACTCAGGGTCTACCGCAGAAGTGAATTTTCAAGCTGCTCCATTGTGTCATTTCAAGATCTCTGCACCCTCTCCGCTAACATCTGTGCTGATGAGAGCACCCTATGCATGGCGCTCCTGCAGCTGCAGAGGGACAAGCAAGTCATGGTTTCGTTGCACGAAGGCGAGAAGGTAAGTCTGCCCACCATTAACAATCTGCACATTTGACATTTTCAGCGACATCTTTATGTAAGGAATCTCTCTGTGTTTTCTCTTCCAGATTGTTAAGTTTTGTCTATCTGGACAGGACCGCGTGTCTGCGGTTAGTGACGTGGACATAGGCATCTATCAGCTGCAGCGCAGTGAGAAACTGCTTGGAGAGCGGGTTGAGAAATTGGGCCTCGAGGCTGACAAGTAACTCACATTTTATAATAAACGATTGATTCGGTTTGTGTGCTACTTTATGTCATCAGATTTCTTTAAAAAAAAAATTTTTTTTTAGGAACAGTGATTCAGAAAGACAGATTGTTGCTAAAATTGCTTTACGTGATCTAATTGCAGGTGCAAAGAGGAAGCAAGGATTCTGCTGCGAGAAGGGAAGAAATCACAGGTTATTAGTAATATTGACTGTTTAAAAAACAAAAAAAAGTAATTTAAGCACTTGCAACCAAATATATGATGGCAGTCACAACACCTATTTATGTTTGCTGTCAATCCAAAAAGGCACTGAGGTGTTTGAGAGGCCGCAAGAGGGTAGAAAAGAGAGCAGACAACTTATTTGCCAAGCTGGAGTCCATCAGGGAAATCCTGGATCGAATAGCCCAGTCACAGAGTGATAAGATGGTAAGGGCAACACTAACAGGAGCTGCCACAGCCTTATTGTACAGCTGTTTATAACCAAGCTTGTTGTTGTCATGTCTTTAGGTTATGCAAGCATATCAGGCTGGAGTGGCTGCCCTGAGGCTCTCTCTCAAAGATGTGACTGTGGAGCGCGCTGAGAGCCTTGTGGATCAAATCCAGGAGGTACACAACTTCTTTTTATGTTCAACTTAATTGCATGTTTTATTGTTTTTAAGTGGGACTCATTATGATGTGTTCAGAATTTGCAAACTGATGATGACACACAGCTCTCCCCTACATAAGCTGCCTTTAATAGGTTAAAAGTAGTGGTATCAGTGCTGATATTAGATATACTTAGGGATGGGAATTGATAAGAATTTAGCAACTCTGATAACATTATCAGTTCTCACTGGCTCCACTTTGGCAGTCACCACCATCTCTAAAGCAGCATAACAAAGCACCTAAAAAGGGAACTGCTTCAAAAAAAAAACTCCAACAAAGCACAATTCCTGCTAAATATGAAAACAACAAGTAAATGTGTTTTCACTGTACAAAAAACATCACTGAGTACGAACAGGCCATGGTGGAGGAGATGATAGCAACTGGGGATGTGCAACTCAAATGTAAACAAATTACTCCACCAAGCGCTGCCCGAGCACGCGCTGACTGCACTCCGTATGACAAGATAAGCAAAGGGTGGATAGAAATTACTGATGTGATCACATGGTGCAAAAACAGAATACAAAATACAACAACCCAGGTAGAAAATACTTTTCAGTGTTATTATATGACAGCATGGTTAAGTTACTTCAATTATTGTTGGACTAAAGTCTTAAGTGGTTATTTTATACTTTTTCTTAAAATTTACATGATGACTGACCTCATAACTTGAAACTTTAGTCATATTTAATATGAGAATGCATCACTCTAACAATATATGAATGACAAAAACATAAGGAGAATGCATAATAGATCCACTTTAGTTAACCCCAGCATTTAACAATCTTCATGTATCCTCTCTGTAAACAGTTATGTGACACTCAAGATGAGGTGAACCAGACTATATCCAGCGGTGTGACTATTGCAGGTAAGTCATTCTGTTTGAGCTGTATCTACAAGATGCTTTATATCTGATTTTAATAGAGCTCTAAGTTAATCATGTCTTTTTGTGTTTTTGTTCTGTAGATGAAGACATGGACGAGCTGGAGGAAGAACTGAAATCTTTGTTGAATGATTCAAAGCCAGATTCCGTCTCAGGTTTACCCACAGTCCCAGCAACCAATCTGCAGCCCTCTGCTGAGTCCATCCTCAGTTCTCTGCCCGACGTACCTCAACGCCCCTTGAATATTAGCACTGAAGAGCTGGAGGAAGAATTGAATCAGTTGACTCTTACAGATTCAGGTTTGCACTTTGAGTTTTGTTCTCTGTCCAGCGCTGTTGTAAGTCTTTCAAAATAACACACAGTCATTTCTCTGTCCAGGCTTTCAACAGAAGAAATTGACATCGCCAGCCAAGATATTAGATCCTGCACAGTGACGGAGCAGGCAAGACGTGGCAAGCCTGAAAGTCTTCATCGCATATCAAGACAAAGTGAAGCTCTTAGAAATTAAAGCAAATTCGTACAAGTTAAAATAATACTCAGTAGTGATTTGAGGGATTGTGAAGCCAATACCATTTTGACAACAAAGCACTTTCTGTCATTTGTCGTTGAAAAAAAAAAAAGATTTCCTTATTGTGGGGGCATGCCAAAAAGGACTTTAAAAAAATATATTTTCCCCTCTGCGCACTTTTTAACTTGAGCGCTTTCAAATGCTCTCAAGTCAGGAGTGAATGTTTTAACCCCTTAAAACAGGCTCTTTGGTATGTCACCACTAGGACATAATTTTATGCTATTTTTGAGAAGAGTAAGAAAACAAACTGTATTTGTTGTTTATTGTGTGTTTATTATTGTGTGTAAATGTCCATCAATAGCAGTCCTGTAAAGTGCATTAAGTGGCCTTTTGGATTGTAAATATGAACCTAAAAGTAAAGAGAATGTTATGCCAAATGATTTATAAAAACTGCATTTAGTCTCAATACAGAGTACCTGTAAAGACTGAGAAAAGCCTACCTTAAGTGAGTTTAACCAAATATGCCATATCAAAAATAAAATTTATTTTAATCACTCATCTGTGGTGCTCGTGCGTCGGTCCCTGTGCTCAGGCTGTGCAAAGGAGACATTTACTTAGTAGTTGTTTGGAGCCACCTCTGGAATAAACAGACTTGTGGGTCAGTGTAATTTGAATTGGGCAGACATTTATAAAGCATTTTTCTATTAGAATTGACCACAAAAGCACTCTGGACTGGGTAGGGAAGCCCACACAGGCACAGGAAGGCCCACTAGGAAATGTACTTCTTGCATCAAATGTGACCCTAAATATAGTTGTACTGTAAATATTTAGGAAATGACTAGCTTTTCCAAAACTTCTGTCACACAGTATCCACTCGTCAGCCACTTTAACAGGACCTCCTTTGAGTACAGTGAACCTGCTGGAGGCAGCCATCAGACTATAGGTACACTGTGGACCTGGTCAGCAACAATACTAAGGATAGGCTGTGGCACTTAAAGGATGCTCAGCTAGTGCTAACAGGCCCAAGTGTGTGAAGAAATATCCTGCACATTTTCACACTACCACAGGCTCAATGGATATATTCATGCTTTCATGTCTTTGTGCCAAATTCTGATTCTATTATCATGTTACAGCAAAACTTGAGACTCGTAAGACTAAGTAGACATTCAATCTTAAAGTAACATTTTTGCCCTAAGAACTGGTTCTTACAACCAAATAATTGAAGTAAAATATGTTTTTATATGTTTTAAAAATGTTTTTTGGTCTATGACTTATGTTTTTAAGGTACTGTTTACATGTAACGCAGTCTTTGTTTTCATACAGTGACTAATATCCCTTCAGTGACATTTTCTTTTAAAAATTGGGACACCTAGTGGTTGTCTGGTAGAAGTACATACACAGGTAAGTATAAAAAGGCATATTTTTTCCTGATGTGATTCAGTTTTTATTTTTGTTTAAATCTAAGAACAACAGACTCTGTAAGTGGGTCTGGCATAACAATGGTATTGTGAGTTATAATCATGTGACTGCATGGCTGCTGGTGTAGACAGGTGTGCAAAACAGCCACAGTTTGGATCATGGAGAACACTTTCAGTGTGGCCCATCAGCCACTAACAGAAACCCAGCAACCCTTTGAAAAAAATCATTTATTGTTTATTGTACTGTTTTGTATAGTTCAAGGACAAGTGACCTTACAGTGAAAAGCAGATTATTTAGTGATTTTAATTACCGTCACATTGGTGGTATAACTACAGTGAATATCTGAGGTGTTGTTGTACTTTCTATTGAGTCCTACAATCAATAATAAATAAAAAAAAGGAATTCATTACAAATGTACAACTTTTATAAAGTACAATTAATAATATCACAAAAATCCTATTACAGCAGTGTTTTTGAAAAAAATGCCCTTGCATTGCAACATCAATGGATAAATGTTGAAACTAAAATTTAGTTGTCACAGTGGCTTACACTGTCTCTCAGAAACACGCACTCGCTTTCGCTCTCTCTCTCACGCCTATTGCTGTTTCTCCCAGTCAGCAAAGGAAAAGATGAGAGTCCAGTTTTCACCTTCGCAACCGCCAATCGTCTAATTGCATATTACGCAGCTCATACCTACAGGGCTGTTATTATACTGATATCACAAGCAGATGAAAGACATTCAGGGAGTAATAGTTTAATTATTTCAGCTCTATCCTAAGCAGCTGCACACAGCTTGTTATACAGTTTGTTGATATGTCCAGAGAAGATGAAGCAGACAGAGATATGTAAATATAACTATTAGCCATGACTACATTACGCAGCTCGTGTATGGTAAAACTGGTTCAGCAGGCACTGATTCAGATATTTGGCTAAGAATTTGTTGTGTGCACCATGTAAGACAGAATGAAGTGAAAGCCTAAGCAAAAAGTCAATGTGTGATAGTACAAGGACTCACTGGGGTGTACAGTAAATAAACATTTGGCATGCTTTATAGTAGTCCATTTCTACTGTATATGAAAAAAACAAAAGTCCTAATGGAATACCATCACCAAATCATAATATACTTTCATAATTTCTTTTTTAATATTGCAGTGTTGCGTAAAAAGCAGGCTACAAAGTGGTTCAGGCTGCTTCTTGTTCTTGCAGTGTGGTGTGTATACAGTAGATGTGCATTTAAGGTGCAGGTATACAGTGCAGTGTTAAACTGTCCTGTCGGCTCCCGAGCGCTTCCGCACAACCTTCTCCTCGTTGACCTGGTCCACTGCCAGAGTCTCCACGTCCGCCTGTGGCGGAGCCAGGGGAGGAGTGCCATGTGGAATGCGGTGTGCCACGCCCACGTGAGCCCTGTACTGACGGTCCCGTGCGGGGCTGTGTCGCGGACTTGCCGTAGCGCCCAGTGGAGGAGCATGTGAGCGCTCAGAGGCAATGGGAGGGATGACAGCAGGCCGCTCACGAACTACCTGTGGTTCAGGAGACTCTCTGCCTGCCTGCAAGAAGGGTGTTGGGTCAGGCATGGCATCCACTGTCTCCCGCAGCACCATCCGTCTACCGTCCGCTCCAAGGCGATACACCTCTGTCAACTCTGGATGTAGAGGCTGGGAGAGGCTCTTCTTCATGCGGCGACGTGGGGTTTCAGGCTGCCTGTCCTTGGCCGGTGGAGGCGTGGGCTTGTACGAGGTGACAGGACTGGCGTTAGGGCTGGCCTCAGAGGAACTGCTGGCTAACAGCTTTTTCTTAGTGGCGTGTAGTTGTGAGGTAAGGTAAGCAATGGTACTGGCTCTCTGCTCTAACTCCCCAGACAAAACAGCCAGTTTATGGCTCTTCATCTTAAGCTCCTCCAGGTACTTCTTTTCTCTCTCTTTGATGGTGTTTTCCAGGACAGAAATCATGGCGTTCTTTTGCTCCAGGTCCCTGAGAAGCTCTGTGTTCTCCTCCTCTTTCTTCTTCAACTGGGCCTCTAGCTCCTCACACCTCCTTTGCAGCTCTCTGCATCGGGCCTCGCTGCTGTCTGCACACACAGAAAAAACCCAACAGCTCTTACATGGAGTACTGTGCAAAAGTCTCAAGCCACCCAACATTCCTTTATATGTTGACAGGAAAATAGGAAATAGTGCAGCAATTACTGAAAGATGCAAACATACATGTAAATACAGAATAAAAGGAAAAATAGTTTGACAATTCTAACATGAAAGTCAATATTTGATATGACCACCTTTATTCTTCAACACAGCCTGAACTCTCTTAGACAAACTTTCTTGAAATTTTCTTTAAGCAGTCTTAATAATGTTGAGGTCTGAGCTCTAATGAGGCCAATCCATTCTGTGTTTTTCTATCCAACTATGCTTTGACTGCATTAGCATTGTTTGGGATCTGACAAATAAAGAAAACAAAGCTGTTGCTAGTACGTTGTTACTCCACATGGTGCTGCAATGGTATTCTACTTTTCTGCTTTCATAATTGCATCAATTTTGATGAGATACCGAACTCCACTTGCTGAAATGCAGCCCCAAACCATGACAGAGCCCCCACTGTGTTTTACGGCTGTAGACAATTTCTGTTGTCTCTCTATCCTGAATACCTC